CACGATGGTCGTGCCAGGGTTAGAAGGGGACGTGGTGAAAGGAGTAATCCACAGTTTTTTGTTGAAAGACATGTTCATCACACCGTTGGAGTTATGGTTTGGGGAGCTATAGCTTATGGTTCCAAGTCACCTTTAATCTTCATCAGAGGTAACATGAACGCGCAGCGTTATATCCACGAAGTTCTAGAACCCCATCTTTTACCCTATCTTGACACCCTGGCAGATCCAACTTTCCAACAAGATAATGCCCGACCACATGTTGCAAGAGTCACAATAGACTTCTTTCAACATAATGATGTCACATTGTTACCGTGGCCACCAAGATCTACCGACTTATCCCCAATTGAACACGTGTGGGATATGATGGGTAGGAGATTGCTCAATTTGCAACGTCCTTCTCAGACTCTAGAAGCACTTCGAGAGGAGTTGCTTCATTAAGTACTTATACAAAATTTTATTAAAATAAAACCATTTAAACTGGGTGTTCGGATTTATATGTCACTTAGTATAGTTTTGGTCTGCCTCTTGTCTCTTATGATCTAGTACTCCGTACTCTCAGGACGCTCTGTTCCTCTTCTATGTTGTTCGTAGTTGAAATTTCCATCATTCACCTCTATACGAGTGTTCTTTTAGACCATTGTGTCATTAATAATGGTGTTGATGACTTTCATATTCTAAATATTTTTGTAGATCCGGGGTTATGTGTTTCAAATATCCTCAAAAGATACACCTTCATTACCATGTAATACAGAAAATATTCGAGCATCATCATACCACATGTCGAGGAACTGAATAAAGTTACTACCGCCAACGCTTTTTGGCGTCGCGGTACTACTGGACAATTTGTTGTTCAGCATCTCGATAAATAACATTGTGGGCAGGATTGTGGGCCTACATTCAAGGCTTTCGATTATCGTTCTATCTGCAGGTACTCTTGGATGATCCATCGCTGTGATCACTATCAATTACTGTTTTCGTATTCAATTATCGTTGATTGCTAGGAAACATCTTAATTGAACGTATATAATGTATGCAAAACATCTTAAGCTTCAATGCCTAATTAGCTTTAGATAGTGTGGATGATATTCGGGCGGCATACATCAACTGTGGATCAGTGGGTCTATTAGCTTACGCCACAAATTGGCGGAATGATAACATCAAATTGCACGAAAAATGGTGGACAATTTCCACGAAACATGAATTAAGCTTGTAACGTGTCAGAATCTTTTTTTACTATTTTCGTCACTTACCTGTAATTTGAATTTCTACCGATTCCTAAGAAAAACGCTTTTCATCGACTTGCTTTTGAAAAATTTCACAATTTATTGATCTATTGAAACTACCTAATCCTGAAATTATGTGTTCACACATATTATACAGGGTGGCGCATCGAAAACGAAACAGCCGCATTTACTGGCAGACCAGTTCTTTTTTGAAAAACGCTCAGACCCGTAAGCGGGGGTGACACCACCCCCAAAATCCTAAATGGAAAGGGGGGTCGGGTGATACCTTATTTTAAAGGTCTTTCAATTCCCTTTATAATGATATAAAATTAATGTACTTCAGTTCAGTAGTTTTGAAGATTTATTGATTTAAAGCTTAAATAAAACTAATAAATCATCATTAGTTGAGATCAATACATTTGGCAGCAAAGTAATTTAAAAATGAAGAATGAACTGACCCGTTAGGCAAGAAAATGTTGAAAATGGGTACCATGACTCTCCATGCAATAATAAAGATTTTGCTCAAAACGTTGCCGCACATTTGAAGAGTAATTTGAAGGCACTCATTCACAATTCTTTGTCGCAGGTCTTCTAATGATGTTGGCTGAGTAGCATAGATTTTGCTTTTTAAATGATCCCACATAAAGAAATCCAAAGGTGATAAATCTGGCGATCTTGGGGGGCATTCAATGGCACCTCTTCTACCAGTCCATCCATCTGGAAAAGTCAGATCTAAATATTGTCGAACACGTAATGCGTGATGTGGTGGGGCACCATCCTGTTGGAACATCAACCTATTCGCAATGTACTGCTGATCATTCTGATTTTCAATTATGGCTGTTAATGCAGGATCTATGGCGTCTTCCAGTAATTTCAAAAACATTTCACCGGTCAAATTTCCAGGTAAGAAAAAAGGACCAACTAAATGATCGCCAAAAACACCAGCCCAAACATTTGATTTTTGTGGCTGCTGTGTATGAACCTCATGATTATTATTATTATTATTATTATTATGTCTTTATTGAGCATTGTTATATACAATGCAGAAATCTGCAACAGGGCGAAGACTAGCCTAAGCTACTCTACTTAACCCTAAATAAAAGCTAACAAGGAAGAAAGCCACAGATAATACATAAAATGCAATTATCAGATGTGATCAAATATAAAATAGCATAGAAAATATGAGATAATTTGAATGAAAATAAACAAAAGCCTAAGACACAAAACCGCAAAGCGAAGAGTATATAATCAAAAACTATTGAATTATCCATTACATTGACTATTGTAATAAAATTTCCTTACCAGGACTTTAAACATCGGTACAGAACTAAACTTAAGCGCGTCATCTCGATACTATTGTATATAGTAACAGCATTATATGAAAAAGATTTTCTAAATAAGGATAAACGAAACTTAGGAAGAGAAAGTTTATTAGTGAACCTCGTATTTAAATCATGCAAATCACGCCTAAAGACTAATTTTCTTTTCAGGTAAGCAGGGCTCTGTGATGATAAAATACGGTGAACTAAAATAGAAGTATAATATTTATGAGTATATTCCAGTTTTAACCATTTTAACTCATTTATTTTAGCTGAGATTCGATCAAACTTTTTGAGCCTAAAAACAAATCTACAACAGCAATTTTGCACCTTTTGAAGTCTGTATTTCAAAATAGACGTTAAGAAGGGATAATAAAGCGTGATTGCATGATTTAAAATAGGTAATACTAGGCTCTCTGAGAGCTTTTTACGTAATTTAAAATTTAAAATACCACCATTTCGATACAGTAGCCTTAAAACTAGGTAAGTCTTTTTCACTAATAGTGAGACGTACTCTTAAAAATCTGAGCTTACAGTCGAAAATAACACCAAGATTTTTTGCACTTTTAACTACTGAGACTGATTTTCCATTTAATGTTAAGTCGATATGCTGCATAAAAATTTCATAACATGGCGGAGAGAAGATAACAACTTGACATTTATCTGGATTGAGGTTTAAGTTGTGATTAAATGAATATTTTCTAAATCTTGATTAATATAAGCAGATGCGGTATTTATAAATCTAGGATCGAACGACAGGTATAATTGTGTGTCATCAGCATAACCTTGTATCTTGCAATAAGTGATAGTTTTAAAAATATCAGACGTATATATAATAAATAGCAAAGGTCCTAATATGGAGCCTTGAGGGACTCCAGAAGTCACAGGCTGGAAGTCAGAATACGAGCTATTATCAACCACAACACACTGGTAACGGCCCTGAAGGTAAGATTTGAAAAGTCGGCAGCCCAATTGATTTATGGGTGAATATCAGGTATTTGGGTTTTTAGTGGTACCTAAGAAAAATTACTTATTTCAGTTTCATATTCATTACCTCTTAAGATCATACTATTTGTGATGCATCTTTGACAGGACCAGATAGTTTTTTGATTTTTAGAGATTTTACAGCTACCAGGGGAAAATGTGTAGGCAGGGGAGTGACACTAGACACAGGGTAGTGACAAACTGAGACAGAAGAGTGACAACTTCTCATGTGAATGATCTTAAAGGACACTTCATAAAAGAATATAAATAAGTTCAATAGTTTTTTATTGAAAATAACAAAATCCTACATGTTCTATTAGTCTCTTAAAAAATAACATTTGGATCAACTGAGCGAACCCTGCTCACACAAGAACTAATATAAATAAAAACCACTATAGCTGTTTGTATCTTGCAACTTAATATAGATAGCAATGTATGTACCTGAGTAATAATAATAATAATAGAAATAAAATTATAAAAACTTAAAGCAAAAAATTGACATAAACTTATGGTCAGTATTTGAATCGCAATCAGTGCTTATAAATAAAAAACGGTAGCTAGCATAAAAATAAAATTAACATAGGTATAATATTTTCTATGAATTCGAGTAGATACTCATTTTTCGAATACAGGTATAGGAGTTCTGAATTTATAAAATAATCTATTTCCTCTCATTACTATATTTGGCACCGGCAGTCTTTCTAATACTTCTCCAACTTTATGTCGGAAATGTCATGCGATAGAAACATAAGTAATTTAGCATTGCTTGAAAACTCATAAAGTCTATAATTTTCGTTCTTCTTAAGGAGAGCAAAATCAACTCCATATTTGCATGAATTACACACAAGCATGTTTCTCTTTTATGAACGTTTGGATATAGAATCCAAAAAGGTCTCAAACGACAAAATGAAGTATAACTTATCGGCACTCCTTTGGTTTTAACGAACCGTGCGTGTAAATGCTTCATTGAGTCTAGTAAAACCCTCTTTTGTTTTTTTACTTTGTTTTTCCTAATGTAGTCATTTTCTAATTAATTACGTTCTTTATCTTCTTTCTAGTTTCACTCATTCTTGTTCTCCTTGTCACGTCTATCAAACCTCTCCCTCAGTGGGTTATCGTTCCACAGGCTTCATATCAATTTGACTTAAAACATTGTACTTTCTAACAAACCTACCACTCAATACTTTACGAAAGTGTCTTCTCATTTTTCTTTTTGGTATGCCTTATATTTTTCTTTTAGGTGATTTTGAACTACCTTACTGAATGACAGATGCTTTTTAACTTCTTCCACGTTCTCCTGATTACTTGGTTTCGCTTTTTTTTTTAGTAATCGGTCCACTTTCGACTTTGGTGACATTTTTAGACTTCTTACGTGATCCAGTTTCCTTTGAAATCTCTTCACCTTGTTTTTTAATCGATCAATTTCGTTTTTTTGTTTTTTGACAAGCTCATTTATCCGTTTCCTCTGTTTTTCTCAGGGTCTTTTGGCACCTGAAGCTCTATTGTCCAATATTTGAGGATCGAAGTGTGGATCTTCATGGTCCGAAGGCGGCGGTGACTCTGGATAGTTAACAATAGTTTTTTGCCTCACACGATCCCTATATCTTTCAGTTTGTTCTCTCCATATCTTTCTCATAGCTCGCTGTTCCCTATCTGTCAGATATTTTATACTTCTAACTTGTACTTTCTCCTTCTTTCTGTGATACTTCTCTTTTTCTTTTAACTCAGCATTCTTGATTGGATCATTTTTAATTCGCTGGTCGCGTGGTCTTTCTGCTTGGCGTTTTTTCTCCAATCTTTCCTCTCGGGTTTGCTTTTTTATAATTTTGATATTTTAGCGAGTCATGGTTTTTTTGGTATCTGAAATTAATGAAATAGTGTCTTTACCACATTCAACTTCAAGAGCAGGAAGCAGGCCGCTCAGAGCTGTAAACTGGGCCAGGCAACTTCTTAGGTGCAGCCCGCTGATTGATGTAACAGATTGGTATGAACACTGACAATGAGCGTTTGAGCACTGAATGCGGCGCTAGGCGTCTGGCCGTGTCTGGCCCGGCCCCTCATGCCTGACCTATTTCAGATCTACTGCCTCTTGAAGTTGAATTTGGTATAGTAGCTACACATCTTATACAAAAAGGTGCCTTTGTATTTCCCCTGTGCAGTGTGTATTTCCCCTGACATAAAAACTGCCAGGGGAGTGACACCAGGGAAGTGACAAAAACGTGCGTAAGCCCCAAAAAAGCAAGATATCTTGATTATTATATTATTTTAACGTGATTCATGGCTTTTGTATTCAAAAATCTTAATTTTTTAAAAAAGTCGCAAAAATGTAACTTTTAAATTCACAAAGATATGCTTACCAGGGGAAATGCTTCACTCACTGGCAAAAGGGTATCGGCCAACTGTTAGTGGGCTACTGACGCGTCCCTGGTCTTCGTTTTCCAAATTACGATAGTTTCGCACTATCCCTTCTTCATTTGCTACTTGCTGCTCAAGGTCAAGTCGCTTAGTTGCCATGTTTTGATGAATATATGCAATTTGAATTGCGCCAGGTGAGGGTGACACTGTTCTCAAGAACCACTAATAAACGGGATTTTTTACGCATTTATGTATATTTTTAGTGTGTCTTTTTGCGAAAATATGTTATCAGATGTATTAGGTAATACAAGGAGTATCCGCTTATTGTTATACCAGTACATAATTCAGAGATTTGTTGATGTTTGTAGTGAAATTTGGGAATGGAACATGCCAGGGGAGTATACATTTTGTTAACTTTCAATCAGATTTTTCCTAAATCTTAATGGTTACCTCAATTTCGCCATATGTTCCAACTAAAGATTGACATCTTCCACTATTTGAATGGTCTATTTCCACAATTTGTCCATTGGATTAAGATTTTTTTGCAGGAACATTGAATTCCCAAATAACTGATATTCACCCTTATACCATAATATCGTAACTTTGCAAGAAGTAAGCAGTGATCAATCGTATCAAACGCCTTCGAAAAATCAAGAAATACAAGAGCTGTAGCAAGGCCAGCGTCGAGAGATCTAATAATATCATCTGATACATTTAAAAGGAGCGAAGTTGTGCTATAGCCCCTTCTGAATCCCGACTGTGATTCAGGTATAATTTGGTTAGAAATCACAAATTCATATAACTGTAAATAGATCACCTTCTCCAGTACTTTAGACAGAGCAGGCAGTATACTAATTGGTCTTAAGTCATTATATACAGACGGTATGCTTATTTTGGGCAAAGGTTTTATAAGAGCATATTTCCATAAACTCGGATAATAACCAACCTCTATGCAGCAATTTATAATATGAGTTATGTGTGGGGCAGTTACAGAAATAGAGTATTGTAGCATTTTTGCACTAATTTCGTCCACACCATATGCGCTAGACGTTAGATCAAGAACCAGTTTTTTTACTTCATCCACATTAGCAAAATTAATAGAAAAAGAAATATTAGAAAATTTGGCTGAATTATAAAATGCAGTAGCTTCAGGACAGCTATTTGATGGACTAAAGACTGAAAGAAAATGACTATTAATTTCAAAAGGTTCTTTTAGCTGTAGAGGTATATCTGTATTATGTTTTCTTTTGATATTGAGGCGATTGACTGCTTGCCAGAGATCCCTATAGTTACGACAGTTTAGTGTTGATGACAAAAATACAGCTTTTTCATGTCTCAAAGCAGAGCACACAGAATTGCGTAATTCTTTATATATAGCAAAGTCCGACAGTTTACCGGATTTTTTATACTTTTGCAAAGCTTGATCCCTTTTTTTCATCATAGCTTTGAGGTTAGGGGTAACCCACGGAGCCAAAGGTTTTGTTATGCGAGAGGTTCTAACAGGGGCATGTCTGTCAAAAAGATCGACTATTAGATTATTAAACAGCGCTACTTTATCATCGAGATTATTTATATAGAAAATATCATTCCAAGGTAAATTTACTAAGTCTGAATTGAAAGCATCATACGAAAAATTTCTGTAATCTCTGTATTTTAATATGAACGGCTTAGGACGCGATGTTCGGTGTGAGAGCTCACAGTAGATTGCTTTGTGATCAGATATGCCAAAACTATCAATAACACCCGAGTTTACAACTCTTTCATTTGCACTGGTAAAAATTAAGTCAATTATCGTTTGTGATAAGGCAGTTATTCTAGTTGGCTCTGTAATGAGTTGATGGAAATCATATGAAATAAAGCAATGATTGACTTCGTTATCATACGATTGATCGACGTTGAAATCTCCAAGAACTATAATGTGATCAAACTGGGGAGTAATAAAGGAAAGGACATTGTCCAGATAATCCAAAAAATCATTATTGCTTACTGATGGGGGCCTATAAATTACACCAATTATCAATACCTCACCATGCGTTTTTATAGACAACCAGATGTGCTCAATTCCCAGAAAACCATCAAAATCTTGAAGTATTTGCTTGCAAGCCATAGAGTTTTTAAAATAGATCCCAACTCCTCCACCCCTGGTACAGCGATCATTTCTAAGTAAAGAGAATCCTGGAATACCAACTGCTCCACTAGAGATATCACTGTTCAACCAAGTTTCAGAAACGCACATAACATCAAAGTCAAAATCCAATACTAGATGAACAAAACAATCAAAATGAGTGAAAATAGATCTGCAATTCAAGTGGCCAATTTTTATGTTTTTATTGTTCATATTGAATTCTATCCTTAAGTTGTCCTAATTTGTTAAGGTAGCACAAACATTGAGTGCTATTAGCTGAATGGTCAGTAGGAAAATTTGTTTTAAACTTATTGTTGGAAGTCTTACAGTTAATACAACAGAGATCAGAAGAAATGCAGTCGCGCTTTTCATGATTCCCTGAACATTGAGGACAAATCGTAGCTGAACTCTTGCAATCTTTTTTATAATGCCCATAGTTATAGCACTTGAAACATTTTGCAACATTAAAATGCTCCTTTACATTACATCTTTTCCAACCTATATATAAAAATCCTTTGCCCATAACATTTTTAAAAATAGAAGGAGTAACTTCAAGGACAACATTGATACCGTCCTTAAATTTAAAATTAGTAACCACACGAATATCAGCTTCCGTAGCATCTAATTCATTATCTGCGATGATAATTTCAGAAAGGCGGGCATCCTCGGCAGCTGATTTATCAACACTGTAGACTACAATCTTCGGACGAAGTTTTTTCGGCTCATAAACATTAAATGCATTTCCAGCTTGCCTCTTGAGACCATCTTTCAAATTTTGAAGCGACTTGACATCAGCACAGTTGACTAGCACGCCATCCCTAATGAGTCTAGTACCAGTAACATTCGCATTTAGTTGACTCGGCCTGAATTTAGACTTCAGCTCCTGCTCCAATTTTGCGTTCCCCATGTTTATGTCAGTGGGTTTAATAACCAGCACATGATAAATTCTGGGATTAGAATCGGACATATATCGGCAGTTATGACGATTTACTACGCCATTTAAGAAAAAGGAACATTCGTCGGAAAAGCAAGTGCTGAATAGAAAATGTTCATCGTTTATAATTCGTTCACTCATATCTTCACAAAATTGTAATCGCCGATCATAATCGTCTTCATTAGGTTCTTGTACCAGGTGAATTTTATACGGATGAAAACTATGGGCTTTTTGAATCCGTTGGACAGTACGTCGACTAACACCACACACAGTCTCCAATTTGCGGGTACTTAACGTAGGATCTACATAAACTTGCCCTAAAACCCCCACTTCTATTCTTCGTTCCTTATGGGATTTTCAATGTTGCGTTTTTTATTGGCGACTGACCCAGTTTCCCGAAATTTAGCTACAAGTTCTAGAACATATTTTCGATGCACGTTACTGTTCTCATGTCGCTCATTAAATAACATATTTCTGCTGTTCTAATATATTTCGATAATTTCAACTCTTTCTGCTGTGGAATATACCATGGTTAATTTAAGTAATAAAGCTTATAAGTTATTTTAGCAACAAAGTTTGGTCAAATGAATCGCAAACTATGTACTAAATTCCTATTTAAAATATGTACGAGATTTCCTTATCTCTCTTCAAGAAATAACTTTTGCTACAAAAAACGCTTTAATGGCTATTTTCAACAACAAAATGATAAAAAAACCATGGACGTAGTGAAGAAAAGCATTTACTTATTAAATAAATTCTTTTAGTCAAATTTCTTCTGAAAGTAGTACAAACTAATCTGATGTACCTATTAAAGTCTACTTTAAGCTTTAAATCAATAAATTGTCAAAACTACTGAACTTAAGCTCATGTATTTTACATCATTATAAAGGGAATTGAAAGACCTTTAAAATAAGGTATCACTCGACCCCCCTTTCCATTTAAGATGTTAGGGTTGGTGTCACCCCCGCCCAGGGGGCTGCACGTGTTAACGTGATTTTTTGCCAAAGTTGTGTCCCCCTCGAAAACAAAAACGACGGGTCTGAACGTTTTTAAAAAAAAAACTGAGCTGCCAGTAAATGCGTCTGTTTCGTTTTCGATGAGCCACCCTGTATATTTCTTAGCGACTCAGGATTGTGTTGAAGTGTTTTGGACACTAATGTTATAATATTTTCTTAACGACTATCTCAGAAATTTCCTCATAAAATATCGTTACCCGCAACATTAGTTTGCGAAATAATACGGTTTTGAGGTCTACCCATAGGCAACCAGTGATGTTGTTTCTGTAGGTTCCTTGAAATTCGTGTGGCTCATCATTTTCCCGTTGAAGCGTTGGTTATCGGTCATTCATTTGGTTTTTGGGATATTTGGCCCCAATCACCAGTTTATCAAGTAGCACCTTTTTGGTATACAGGGTGTTTCAGTTTATTGTTGCATAACTTTAAGATTCGATAGAACTTTTAAAATTAATGCATAAAGTCTATATAAACATGGATGGAAAAATGCGTGGCTTCCGAACTACAGGGTGTTTAAATTTACTTTCTAAAATAGTTTTTTTTAAATATTTCGAACAATATTTGATGTATAATAGTGAAAATTGGTATACAAGGGTTTTTTGCTACGACAAAACGAACCATGGGAATAGTTTTACTGTAGCCACTAGAGGGCGCTCTCTACTGTACCTGCAGTGTATTAAAATGACCGACAAATTTTTCTTAGTGCAATTTTTTGCTTCTTGAATAAAAAACTGATTCTTCGCACTTTTCTGCATGAAAAAGCTCTCCTGTGAGTTTTCGTTTTTGAGATATTTCGATTTTTAAGGTTCGATGCATTTTTAATTATTTATGGGAAAATAATATTTTTTTTACATTTTCGATTTGGGCATTACAAGTAATTAAGATGATCGTTTAGATTGTGTTTTTAAACACATCAATAATTCCTAACTCCAGATAAACACAAAAAAACAGAATATTAATTTGTTTAATTTTCCAATATTATTTTTAACAAATTAAATGAATATTGGATGCTATTGGATAGTTAGGACAAACATACAAAATCTAAAGTAGTGGCTCGAAATGTAAACCCAATTGTTCAATACACAATTCACATCTACGAATGATCGAACGTGGTATATCATTATTCAAATAAGGCCTTATTTCATCACATGCATTCCTGATTCTGTCTATTAGCATATCTCTTGTGGTTACGGGAGTCTGGTACACTTTTTCTTTTAGAAATTCCCACACAAAGAAATCTAATGGATTTAGGTCAGGGGATCGTGGAGGCCACGCGACTGGTCCTCCACGGCCGATCCATCTTTCTGGATAATTTTCGTCCAGCCAGTTTCTAACTATTCTCGAATAATGAGCTGGACAACCATCAAGCTGGAACCAGGCCAATCTTCTTAAATCTAACATAACATCATCCCACATATTTGCATGTTCAGCCTTTAAAAATTCCAAGAAGGTCGCAGCATTTAACCTAGCAGGAAAAAGATAGGGTCCAAATAATCGATTACGGTAGATACCAATCCACACGTTCACACTAAATTCATGCTGAACATTTCTTTCCGAACTGCATGCGGATTTTCATGCGACCAAATATGTTGATTATGAAAATTTACCACTCCACGTCTAGTAAAGCATGACTCATCGGTCCATAAAACGTTACTTAAAAACTCCCTATTATTATCAGCTCTATCAAGAATCCACTGACATTATGTGAATCTTCGTTCTCCGTCCCCTGACTGTAGTCCTTGCCCAGGTTGCAAATGGTAAGGACGTCTATGGTTATTTCTAAGAACACGGTGAACATGGCTTGCTGAAATTCCTAAGGCACCAGAAACTCTCCCCACTTGTGGTCGGATCTCTATCAAACTCACGCAGAATCACACGGGTAAATCTGCGCTGACGAACATTTATGTTTTGATCCCTTTGGAGATTTGCAAAACCATTTTCAATTATTTGGCGATGCACTCTTACAAGTACTGAACGAGTTGGATGTCGTCTGTTTGGAAATCTTCGTGCTTATTCTCTGGCTGCTTCTGCTGCGTTTCCATTTACAAAGCCATACACAAAATGATTGGAGAATAAAAATGGCATTTTTATAAAACTTACAAAAAAAACAGTCAAAAGAAACTAAATTTCGTGCATTCACAATTGCAAAAAAACTTTTCAGGTTTCAACAGACAACAAAACTAACTGTCAACTAATTGACGTTTAACCTTATTCTGCTTTCAATTTCAGAAATATTTGCAGGCACAGCCTGCTTCTAAAAATTATCGAGATACTGACCTTTTAACGTTATTTTATCATAAATAATTAAAAATGCATCGAACCTTAAAAATCGAAATATCTCAAAAACGGCTAACTATAACGAAAACTCACAGGAGAGCTTTTTTATGCAGAAAAGTGCGAAGAATCAGTTTTTTATTCAAAAAGCAAAAAATTGCACTAAGAAAATTTTTTCGGTCATTTTAATACACTGCAGGTACAGTAGAGAGCGCCCTCTAGCGGCTACAGTAAAACTATTCCCATGGTTCGTTTTGTCGTAGCAAAAAACCCTTGTATACCAATTTTCACTATTATACATCAAATATTGTTCGAAATATTTAAAAAAAACTATTTTAGAAAGTAAATTTAAACACCCTGTAGTTCGGAAGCCACGCATTTTTCGATCCATGTTTATATAGACTTTATGCATTAATTTTAAAAGTTCTACCAAATCTTAAAGTTATGCAACAATAAACTGAAACACCCTGTATACCCTACGTTTAGTTGTTTTGGTTGTTGTTTGGGTGCTACTCTCTCCATTTTAACCGCTTAACCCTGGAAGGCATTGAGGAAAATCACCATCTGCACTCCTCCAGCTTTGTAGCTGTTTTGTAGCCGATTTTACTGGAAGCCACCGCTTTCTCTTGAGAATCCCAGACATTGAACATTCGATTGACATGGGGAGTAGTGCGGAAAGATTATTTTGAAAATTGTAATCATTGTGACGATGAGGGCGATGTTCTTAATCATTTAAACGAATTTATGTAGATAGATTGAATACTTGATAGAACTGGAACAGATGCTCGGGTACACAGTTGACTATGTTGTCAAACACATAGCAAGAGGGAAGGTGTTGAAAAAGTGAGACAGATTGCTGTTGAGTTAGATGTTGATAATAAAAATAATGGAACTAATGACATATTAGTATTTGGTGCCATTTTATATAGGTTCGGATATTTTTTTACATGACTCCAAAGAGAAAGCAGCAATCTGCCCGTATCTTCTTATCAACAGTAAGTAAATTGATGTTTGTTAAACAATAAGCATTTACAGGGTTTGTCCGGAAAGTAATAGGACTCATTTTCTTCCGCCATGACTGTACTTCGGAGCGTACGCGCACCGGCTGGATTCGGTAGAGGGCGTTCCTAGCTAACCAATGAGCGGCTGGTCAGTTGTCTCCGAGCACTTGGAGAGTCAGGACAGGCATTTTCGCGCGACGTGTTTCTGTGAGTGGTGCTAGCCGAAAATGCAGCGTTCGTTAGAACAGAGGTACGCGATTAAATTCTGTGTGAAACTCGGTAAATCTGCGACAGAGACGTTTGATATGATCAAGCAGGCTTACCCAGGTGTTGCTTTAGCAAGAAGTGGTGTGTTTCGGTGGCACCAGGCCTTTTTGGAGGGCCGGGAAGAGGTCGCTGGAAGACCTTCAACTTCTTTTAACTGCCCAGATGTTAAATTTACCAAAATCTGTGGTTCATGACATTGTGACACAGCATTTGAACATGCGCAAGGTGTGCGCGAAGATGGTCCCAAAAGTGCTCACAGACGACCAGAAATTGCGGCGAGTGGAAGCGTACCAAGAAAATTTGAACATGTGTGAAAGTGACCCCCAATTTTTGAATAACGTAATCACAGGTGACGAGTCGTGGATCTTTGAGTATGATCCCGAGACAAAGGGGCAATCTTCTGAGCGGCACACGACGGCGTCTCCTCTCCAAAAAAAGGGAAGAATGAGCAAATCCAAAGTGAAAACGATGCTCATTGTCTTTTTTGACATCAAAGGCATCGTCCACCATGAATTTGTTCCTCCTGGACAAACCGTCAACGCCAAGTTTTACGTGGAATTGCTCAGGAGACTCAAACGAAGGGTGAGTCGGGTCCAACAAGACATCGCAGCCGACTGGAAGTCTACCTGACCAAGGCCGGCATCCCAACGCTTCCGCAGCCGCCCTACAGCCCAGATGAGCCCCCCCCCGGACTTTTTTTTGTTTCCTCGCCTGAAAAGGCCGATGAAAGGCAAGCATTTTGAGACGACAGAGGGGATCCAAGCATCATGCACCGCGGCTCTCAAGGCTATTCCGGAGAATGCCTTCAGTGACGCCTTCAATGCTTGGAAATCGCGCTGGCAGCGCTGCAGCGACGCAGAAGGAGCCTATTTTGAAAGTTTTTAAAGAATTGTAACGATTGGCTCAATATTTTTTTTTAAATCGACTCAGTCCTATTACTTTCCGGACAAGCTCTGTATTTATTTTCAATAAATGCTGTGTACTGGCGTCATGTCAATCTACATCTATCTGTATCAGGTTTGATCCATGTTGCGAGTAGGCCACAAATCCTGTTTGATTGGTGGTCTATGAAGCTTTGTTGTTTGTATTTACATAAATCGTATGATTCGCTAGTTCAAGGGACATCTTGAAAGAAAGACGACCTCTCATTGGTCCAAATTGTGTCAAAGGCGCAAATGTTGATTCTCGCGGGTCAATAGCAAAATCGGGTTTTAGACTTTGGAACATAGAATTTCTTGGCTGACGTATTAGAAGATACAACAATTTTTACCATTTCAGAAATAAATTTCCTAATATTTCTTAACATGCTTTTATTAGCTTGGCCTGTAAGTAAGGATACAGGGTGTTCCTTAATGATATGCGAATATTTAAGGGTGTGAATCTACATGAAAAATTAATGTTAGTTTGCTTTATAAACTCTGGTCCAAAAATGTTTCTTTACAAAACTCGGGGTGTTGAAGTTTTAGGACAAAAATGGAAATTAATTAATATTTTCAGAACCGCTTCAGATATACCACTGATATTTAGTACGTAGTGAAAATTAATAAAGCTGCAAATTTTTCAATGCAAAAATAATTTTTAGCTTTAACAGTGGCGTGCGTACGGGTATTGACTTTTAAGAAAAAAATGGTACGCCAATGGTTTTTTGCTAAATAAAAATTATTTTTGAATTTAATGCCACTACAGTGTTAATGGGACTTGTGTACACTAGTGTCTTAAGATAGCCCCACAAAATGAAATCTAAACTGTTGAGGTCTGGGGACCTTGGTGGCCATTTTTGGGGCCCACCGCGGCCAATCCAACGATTTGGATAAACAGTTTGGAAATAATTATGCACCGCTACACTGAAATGCGCTGGTGTACCATCATGCATGTACCACATATTGTTTCTTATTACTAACATAATCAAGCAGCAAAGGAAATGTTGTTAATGAAAATTGAGGTAAGTCTGTCCATCAAGTCGTCCCGGCAAGAAGAATGGGCCAATGAAGTGGTTGCCAATAATTCCTGCCCATACGTTAACCGAAAATTGGTGTTGGAAATGGGTTTCGGTTACGGCATAGGGATTTTCTTCTGCCCACAAATGATTATTGTGAAAATTGTGAATGTCATTTCGAGAAAAATTAGCTTCGATCGTGAACAGAATCATTGATTCAAATTGCGGATTTTGTGTAAGTTTTGGAAGATACCACTGACAAAACGTCACACGCCTTGGAAAATCAATGGGAAGTAATGCCTGTACTCTTAAAATATGGTGAGGATATAACAAAAAATCCACTAAAATTCTCCAAACAATTTGATGGCAAATATTTGTGTCTAGCGATCTTCCTTGTACTCGTTTCAGGATGTTCTTTGACTTCGTGCAGCACTGCTTCCTCAATTTCAGGTGTTCTCATACTTAGAGGTTTACCTTCAGATGTTCCTTTTCGAACAGAACCAGTTTCAACAAGACGACGATGCATATTAGAAAAGGTTCGATTATCTGCAAAGCACGATCGGGATATCTCTGGTGATAAATCCGTCTGGCTTGCTCACCATTACCGTCGGCAAGGCCTTATACGTAATGCATTTCCGCCATTTCTGCATTTGACTAATTCACCATTATTAACAAGATTGTAAAAACTAAATAATGAAAAAGATGTCACAGCGAACAGATTTAAATAACAGAGACTTGTCAGATGTCAACAGCCAGTGACGTATTCCAGAGCAACTAGATATTTATTGCTAAATTGCATTCTTCAATTATTACATTAATTTTCTCGGACAACTGAACGGTTTTTATTTTTTTACTCAAAAATGGCGCATCCAAGGAAAACAATTCAAGAGAGATCATTTGTTTTAAATTGAACGGGAAATTCAAATATAATTTTTATTTGGTAAGCTAAAAATTATTTTTGCATTGAAACATATGCAACTTATTAACTTTCACTACGTACTAAATATCAGTGAAATATCTAGAGCGGTTGTGAAAATATTAATTGATTTCCATTTTTTTCTTGAAACTTCAATACCCCGAGTTTTTGTAAGGAAACAGTTTTGGACCACAGGTTATAAAGCAAACTAACATTAATTTTGATTAGCATTACTTACTTACCTTTTAGCGATATTTTGTAATATGTTCAGAAATGGTGATTTTATTCTGATGAATAAAAAAGGATTCCAGAAAAAATGAGGGTTTCCGTATGAAATTTTCTTTGGCCTAAATTTTAGGTTAGGAACAAGATATCGAGATACGGTTTTCGGGAGCTTGTTTAGACATCAGTTAGCTAGTTTTTCATAAAATAAATTATACCAGTGCATTTAATTTTATTGAGAAAATTAACCATTTCTGTCGGAATGTCGAAAAAAGCCCTCTAGTGGCCACATGTGAAACTAACCAAACTTCAAATATTATAACATTTGTAGAATAGCTCTTTTCAACGAGCCCAAGTTTGTTAAAATCGGCTTAGCCGTTTCGAAGATACAGGGTATTTTTTACGTAAACCTTTGAATACCCCGTACCTCTTTATTTTTAGATTTCAGCAAAAATCGTCAAACAAAAAACGTTCATATCCTCTACTTTAAAGATCAGGTATTTTTTGTTAGGTTAATATAACGGATTTCACAGAAACATCACTTCTTTAGATTCTTAATTGCAGTTACGCCTAGTGGCCATTTCAGAAACTTGAAAATCTCTCAGGTTTTCCTCTTGTCCGTTTTAGGCCCGTATCGTCAGTCGTCCCTAGAATTGTAGGGCGCGTTTATGGCCTCCTTGATTGTCATACTCCTTTCTCTCCTTCAAAAAATTCTAGATTACACTTGTCCCGTGTCAGCGTCAGCGCTCTCCTATTATGAAGATATGTTTTCTTTTTAAATTGTAGGTAATTTGAGGCTGATAAAACATGATATAACACACAATTTGATGCAAATAGATGTTTGTGCCATAACCTCAAAATAGAGCGCTGACACGGAGAAGTATAAAACTATGACAATCAAGGAGGCCATAAAGGCGCCCTACAATTGTAGGGACCACTGACGATACGGGCCTTAGTAAGAACTTTTTTGCCGCAAGCCTCTACGATGGATATATTCCCAGATATAGTTCCTCACATTTGTAGTAGGTCACCCTGTACATTTTTTGCAGTTCTAATAAACTAATAATTTTTTGGTATGCCCAGTCTGATACAATAAAAATAATGAACTTCAATATATAATACAAGTTTTTTAATCAGAAGCGTAAAATAACGAACAAACATCCAAATCAAATGCATATTTTCCTAAACAACTCTAAACTTGCTTTTTGTGATATACAGCAGACGCTCGATAACGTAAACACGGGATAATGAAAACTTGCGCTAATGTAAACACAAACTTCGTTCTATAGGATCAAACGGAACGCGCGATAACGTAAACAATGTGTACGCTCGATAACGTAAACAACTCTCGGCGCACGGAAACAGCGCGACGGTAAAATGCTGAAGCCTCGATGATTTATGTCGGGCGTCGGGGAGTCCCCGATTTATGATGTAGAGTGTAGGGGATTCACCTCTGCGATAAAATACGACAAACTCGGTCAGTCGTATGATCATTTAGAAT